GCAGTATTCCACATCAGCGTAAACTGTGGGGCTTGGCTTGAAGGCAATCCAGTCAGTCAGGAGACCTACAGGCGGCTGGGGAACAGCAAATTCCAGCAGGCCACCGCATATTAAGTGGTTTAGAAAGCAGCTGCATAAAAGCTTTTAAAACCGTTACATGGAGCCCAATCAGATATACATATGCCAGGAAGTCAGCCCCATTGAACACAGTGGGACTTACTTCTGAGAAAACAAGTCCAGATGCTCTGGCTAAACTGGGCTGTGGACTATTGTCCTTAACTTTAATAATGGCCAAAAACAAAAAACAAAACAAAAAACCCCAACCAGACAAACATAGGAAAATAATGGCAAGAATGTCAGAAGGCTAGGTAAAGAAGAACAAATCAGAAAAAATAGTCTATAAGAGGAAGGGAGGCTAGGCAGCAAGAAGAGAACAAAGGGAATAAACAGAGGGAATAAGAAATAGCATTTCAGCTATGGCTAACAAAGAAGAAAGGGATGTGTAAAAATTAAGTAGAATTATTAATATCATGGAAGTACCAATGGAAGAAATGTAACAGAAGGAAATACAAGAAAAACAGTCATATAAAAATAGACAAAGGACCACAGTAACGTTCTTGGGGGGAGAAAATAGCAGCAATCCAATAGAATTTTAAAGAGAATCAGCACAAGCCTAAAAGAGTTTTCCTAAAACAAAGATTTTAAGAAAGAATATTTTATTTCTTTCTCACTGTGTCAGGGAGCTTGGTACTACAAGAACCATAAACCAAAGTATATATAAATAAAAATGCTAGTATTTGCCAAAGGTTTTTTTTACATCCATGTCTATTGACAATTATTATATAGTTCTCACCTTTAGCTAACAACTATTTAACCAAGCCAGATTTAAACTCTTATTGGCCCATCTGGAAAATGTAATAGAACAATAATTATGAAGATCCCCATTCTACATAAAGGACCAAATATCATCAGAGTTCCCAAGAACCACAAACATGTCTATAATAGGAACCCTTCAGAAATGAAATCAAAGCAATGCAATTCCTTATTGCCAGCACAGCTGCCTTAAAGGTAAATAGACCTTTTACTCAAGACTATTTTTGTTTCTCAGTCCCAATGTCATTATCTGGCTTTTGGCTCACATGCAATCTAAGTTCCAGTTTATCTGAGTTCACTCGACAATGTTTGGAGACACCTTAAAATCTTAAAGGAAAAATGGCTTGCCTTGTATACCTTAGGCAGAGATCCAAATTAAACAATGCAACGCAATGTGTGTGGACCAGAATGCCTGCTCAAATCTGTCCAGCATACTAAGCAATTGCATTACTATACAATTAAGGAGGTTTTGGTAGGTGTCTTCATTTAAAAGGAAGGTGCTACGGAGAAGAATCAAGCTGTAAGATCTGGCACACAAAGACACAGAATGATCCCACATATCAGTTAAATATGGATATGTTAATATGGACCAACAGAGCATATAGCCAGATCCTAACCAGGTTTAAGAGATTAAAATGTGCTTAAGTTTGTATGGGAGGATCTTAGTCTTCAGCGTACCACCCTCATTCATACAAATGAAATAATATGTATTTCATTCAAGAAACTAGGTAAGATGATACCTTTCAATGAACCCATCTCTATGGATCAGAAGCAAGCAAGATTCTGACACGGCTGAGTGTTGGCCCAATAAAAGATTTTTCCTTTCCGCACTCATGCAGCTTATCTAATTGTCTTAGATTAGACATGTCAACAATGGTCCAGATTTAAATAATGTTAACCATTTTTTAACCTGAAATAGACTGATATCAATGAAACATCCCAGGAAGCTCCTTCCTTTTATAATACTATTTCAGAGTAGTTGGGGTTGTCCAGACATAAGTAATAAAAGTATCACATATTATAGGCAGAATATCTTGGAAGAATACATGAGAACAAATTTAGTTCCTTTAAGTTGTTGGTGCTTGCACCTTAAGCAAAAGATAGTTCATTCACATAGAACAGTAAATAAGGTGTATTCCTCCCACTCCTTAAGAAATTAGCATTTCAAAAATATGCTACTCCCCCCCCCCCCGAACTCCAAGCCGTGTCTAATAATGCAAGAAGCAGATTGTCTCCCCTCGTTTCCTTAATTTGTTTCATCTAAAAGCAATTCACTCAACATCTTGTCGCCCTCTGGCAGCTCAGTTTACTTATCCACACTTAATTTCTCATTTGGACCAAAACAAACTCCCCCAAACTGCCACAGGCTGAAGGGAAGAGAGGAGAAAAATAGCTCCTTGTGTAAATTTACCAGGAAAAGACTAGCTGTATATGTGCACACAGAGAAAGAAAGCAAGATCACACTGGCTGTAGACATACTCCACTGGGAAAGCCAATTGAAATGAATGGGAGATGTGGGAGAGCAGTACTTAGCTCGGCGCGGTTTGTGCAGGAGACCTTCCCTGTGGATTGTGCCAGAAGATATCCCAAATATGTAGGCACGGTCTTTTCTGGTCCTGCTGATAGACAATCCTTTGACTACCACTGAACTGTTTCTAAAGCATCTCTCAGATGGCCGTTCCATCTTTCTACGTTTATGCACACAATGCCAATCTAGCTGAATTTGCACCACTTCCATTCCACGCAAGGAGAATTCTTGAAACTTACATAGTGTTACATCATTAGAACTTACTGGCACATTAAAACAAAACATCTTCATAGTAGCTCTTTCTTTCATTCTCTCTCCCCACCCCGTCTCTCCCTCCCTCCCTCCCTCCCTCCCTCCCTCCCTCTCTCTCACACACACACACACACACACACACACACACACACAGGATTCCTTCCTTAACCAAGCAGCTATTCACAAATGTGCACGCATTCCGGTCTCTTGTCCAAAATTTTATTTCTCCAGTTAAAACTTGTATCTCAGCAGCCTGGAAAAGCAAAAGCCACCATCAGCTACCAGCCACCACAAAGTTCATGTCAGCATATGGTAACACAGGAGCGTTCTCTTTGTGTGTGGGGGGAAGGGGGACTCAGGAGCAGCTGCCTGAATTCCCCTTCCAGAGCAGTGCAGATTCTCCTACACCTGGCTCCTCTGAGCTCATAAGCAAACTGCTCCGAACCAAGCCTCCAGGTGAGAGTGTGCACATCAAGAGCAACAGGCTCCTCTGAAACTCCCCATGCCTATCCCAAGGGGACGGGGAAGTCAGCAATGCCTCCGGATGCCCAGAAAAAGGAGTTAAAAATGAAGAGAAGCAAAAGCAGAGGCCAGAAGGAAAGGACCAGAACTCTGCATTCCTTTGGGCATTCTCCCAAGCTTTAGCTGGAGCTGAGTGTCCTAGCAATGCAACTCCACAAACAGTACTTGATGGTGACACTGAGACACATCAGGAGTGACACACGCACAAAGGGGAGGGCAGAGGATACCGAATCATATTCTCCGGTGACTGCGTGTGTGGTTTTGCTTGTGCCTTGAAGCCCCGATTGATATCTAACGATCTGGAGTCATTTGGAGCTCCCTTGGGGGCAGAGTCGCGAAATTAAAACAGCGATCTGTCCCTCATGGCTGCCTCACGCAGAAGTAAACCCCATGAAATCGTCCAGACCCTGACTCCTGAGGAAACCCGGGCAGGATCAGGCAGCCTGTCGCTAGCAAACCCGACTCATCCATGCCAACATCCGTCATTCAGCAGCAGGTGGGACCAGTGCCCCCAACAAGAACTTTGCATTTGTGACCTGACTGTCCCGAGGCGCCCCGTCATCCGGGAAGCCACAAAGGCTGCCGCCCTCGCCGGTGAGCGGGGGACGCGTCCTGCCCACCTGATCGCCTCTTTAGGTGGTCGGTTCACAAGTAAACAAGAGAAGTTGCCAGCAAGAGGCAGCCCCAGAAGACAGGCGATCGGGATTAGGGCGAGGAGAACTGCGCCTGCCTCCTCTACTCTCCTCTCACCCCGCTCACAGCAAACGGGAGGAAGAGAACCGTAGGGGCACGGCAGGGAGAGGAGTGCTAATAATTGCGCTAGGAAACCCCAAATCTGTATTCAGAGTTGTTCCTTTATGGTTCCAGTGGAAGGGCTTCTCCCCCACCCGCGAAATGCGCATGGCAAGCAAAGCGGGACACTCCGACCGCGATCTACCCAAAGTTGAGTGCCCTCACGTTCCCACTGGTTTCAAGGGTACAGGGTTTAAACAGGTGCGTAACTCTTCCACTGAAACCAGCGCAGACGTCGAAGGTTCTTCGGCGAGGCTGGATCGTGTCCTCCGTTTTGACTAAGCGGAGCCTCCTCCTTCCCCGGCCCCCTTGAGCCAATCTGCGCCCGCCACTCGAGAAGGCAAGAAAATACACAGTCGCGACGCCGTCCTCCCCTCACCTCGGGAGATCTCAGCGGACAACGGGAACCGGCCAGGCGCTCGCCCACTGGAAAAGCAGCCGGCGGGCCGGCCACGCCACACGCGCGCACACGCGGCCGGCTCGATCCCGGCCACAGGTGCCGGAGGAGGGACCCCGCAGGCGGCAGGTATCCCCCCCTCTTCGGCAGAGCAGGCACTTCACGAATCCCTCTACGGATGAAATACAGCGGAGGCCGGGGCGCGGGAGGCTCTAACAATATCGCCAGCCTAAGGCCAGGTCCCACCCGCGGAGACGCCGCTTCGGCGGCGGTCCTAGCCAAGCGCGCGCCCTCGGGCGAAAGGCTTCCTCCGCCTGCGTCCCTTTCGCGACATTCCGAGCCGCTACCCAGCCACGCCGCGCGCGCCGGAAGAGCAGCTTCCCCCGAAAGAGCAGGCTGGCCAACTTGTGCAAAAGACCGAACCTTTCCCCCAACCTGAAACCTTGCCTAGGGATGTCCTTCTGGGAGACTGAACAGCCGCGGAGGTCATTCTTTTCCTTAAGAAAGAAGCCTCGACGTAGAGAAATGGTCAGAAAAGACCCCACCGCCACCACTGCAAAAAAGAAAAGGCTTCCCTATCTTTAAAAAAACAACAAACGAAGGTACTCAACGGCGAAAAAGGGAACCGGACCGCACCTGACTGAGCAGCGCTGCGATGGAGGCTCCCGGCGATTGCGAGGCAGCTCACCCAGGAAAGGAGGCTGAGCACCGGCTTCATCTTCTGGGGTGGCGGCGGCGGCGGCGGCGGCGGCGAGGATCGCAGAAGCTGAAGGGCAGCCGTCTCCTCTGCTCTCCGGGCCCCGCAATTACATGGTCTAGGTGGCCTCGCAGACTGCCCGCTCTCGGAGGGCACGGCGCCGAAACCGACGGAGAGTCCCCTTCGCTTCGCTTCCCGCCCGCGCCCTCAGGTGTGACTCGGCAGCCGAGCGGGCGGCAGGAAGCGCTTGGCCCCGGACCGGGGGCTCCCCTGCGGTGCCCGGGAATGCCTCGCGACCACCTCTTCCCAGCCCTCGCGCGATGCCCGGCTCTGCCCGGCGGCTCTGCCCAGAAGCCACGATCCAAGAACTCCCAAAAGTTGCTGCCGCACTTTGAAGAATGCGCGGAGCGGAGCGCCGACGGTCCTCTGCCCGCGCCTGTCTTCCTCAGCGGCGGCTCCTCCGCCAGCTTTTATTTCCCGCTCGCTGGCGAGGCTCCGCGCCGTCCCCCTGCTGGCTTCCCCGGGCGGCCAGGGCGGCCGAGGGGACCGAACGAGCCGCGGGCTCGCCGCGCGCGGAGTTGCCCGGGCTGCCTCGCGCGGCTCTTCGCTACGCCTCGCGTCCAGCGGCGGATGTCTTGGGGAAACCTCGGCGCGCCGGTCCCATTTACTCCCAGGGCTCCGGCGGCTACTCAGATTAACAAACCGAGCGAGCCCCCTCCCTCCCCCGCGCACAAAACCCAGCACCGAGGGGGAGGGGGGAGCCACTCGGCCGCAGCCCCGCCTCCTCGTTGCCTCTTAGCGGAGCAAGCCGCGCCCCCGGCCCTCCTCCCCGCCCAGCGCGCGGCGCAGCCCGTCTCGCCCTCCGCCGCGCCCCGCCCCCTCGCCACCAAAATACCCGGGAAACACCTGTCACTGGAGCAGGCGCGCGCGCTAGAGGGGCGCGCGGCGGCGGCGGCGGCTCGCAGGTTACCATGGAGCGGTGCAAAGGCAGCCGCTTCCAGAAAGCGCGGCAGCGCGCCTTTGGAGACGGCGGAGCCGAGGCAGCGGTACTGCGCTCTCCAGCTTCTCCAAGTCAGCCTCCCGAGCACGCCGAGGCGCTCGCTGGCCGCTTCCTTCCACTGCGGTTCCGAATCCAGCGAGGACTCCCTCGGCTTGCTTTCCTTCTCGTGCCTGCAGCCCCATCCGGTCGGCGCCTCTTCGGAAGGCAGTGCCCCTTCTATTCCGACGAGACTAACTCCCAAAGAAGTGAGCGCGGCGCAAGACCGCAACCTCGGAGCCTTCCTGCCTGGAGGAGACGCGGGGTGCGCGTCCCCCGCTTTTCCACGCGCAGACACCGGACTCGATTTGGATGCTTTCCCTTCCCTTCCCTTCCCTTCCTGTAACAAAGCAAGCCCCCTGGACCGAATCGTGCTTCTGTTTGCTGCCAAGAAACGGGGGAGAGTCTGGACGGAGCAACTCGAGTAGCCGAGCCGAAGACCGTGGGAGGCGCAGCGCAAGCCGTGTCCTGGGCTGGGAAGGAGGCAGGCCAGTCTCCCAGTGCCCCCCCCCGACCTCTCTCCGCCATTCTCTCTCAGCTTCCCGAGCGCGTCCCCTCCGCCGCGACCGTTCTTGGAATCTGGAAGGGGAGCGGGCAAGTGCGCGAAGGATTCGGCGCCGCTTGTCACAAGCAAGCAGAACTTCGTCCTGTCCCAGGCTAAATTTCCCCGTGCGGATTCCGGGGTGCCGCTCGGGCTCGAAACTTTGGGGAGAGAAAGAGTGGCAAGGACGGAGAAGTTTCCATTCCACCCAGCTTTCCTCCGTAAGGAGCATCGACGTGCATCCTTCCCCTCCACTTCGGCGTGTTGCGGGAGGAACGGAAACCTCCGGATACAAGATTAAAGGGGCAACTGCAGAGGCCCTCAACTGAGTATACTCCCGTTGAAGGTCCTTGTGTGTTAACGACAAGATCCATGTTAGACCATTCGTTGCAATCATTCTGTAAATATTCATAGACGGTAACTCATAAGGTACATGCGGACTGCCCTTCCCAGATTGCAGCCGTGTTTTCCTTTCCCCGAATTTTTGTGAAAACACTGAGCACCTGCCTCATGTGATAAATAGAGGTAAAAATGAATCAAGGTGGGATTCTTTGTTACTCCGGTGTCATGAGTGCTCAGCCCAAAGCATAATTGCATTGTAATGGATTGCCCTTGTGGGCCAGGCAGCATTCCGTGATGAGCAGGGCCTTCTGTTCCATCCTCCCTCTGTCTTTTGTATTTTTGGTGCTTTCTGGGACCCAGTTCCACCGTCTTTTTGCTTTATCATGGATAATGTCAAGGAATTCTGAACCTGGCACATGCACAGTTTGCTATACTTCTCAATCCCTTCCCTTTTGTTCTCATCTGTACCCTGCCTTGCTGTTACAGATACACTCATGAAACAGGGTGTGTGCAAGCGGCACACTGTCTCCCGACCCCACGGCTCAAAGAGTGCACACAGGGCACTGAGGTCCCTCTAGCCACCTTGGCCCTTTTCTGCCCCTTGGACCTCCTCCGAAGGTTGGCATGCAGTGTCCCTCAGCTAGCTCTCAGCTTTTGACTCCTTCTTGCAAGCTGAAACTGCTCTGCTCTGATTTCTCTACCTCTAGGGCTACCCTCTTCTGTTCCATTTCCTCCTGCTCTTCCCCTTAACTTTTCTCCCTTTTCCTCTTCTTACTTACTCGATGAATTGACTACCATCCACAGGCCCTCTGATCCTATCAATTTCTGATTGCCATCAGTCCTTGTCTCTGCTGCATAATCAACCTCTTTTGCCTCTGACTTCTTCTCTAATGCATCCAATTCACAATTGATAACTCAGTTCTTTAAAAATTAACAAAAGCCACTTGGCTACCCTGATTTCCTTTTTAACTTTTCAAACTCCTGGGTGATGCTGCCTGCTGCAGCTGCCTTGGCACCCTATACCCTAGTGTAACTAAACCCAAGTACATGTAACTTCAGTGATCATGCATTCTTATCCTATTTACTCATTCCTTCATTTCCCTCCCATCCATCTGTTGTTTTGTTTTCTGCATTGTGAGCATCTTGGAGCAGAATCTCATTGGGAGCTGTTCTGTTTCACTTGGTTTGTAAAGTATCAAATTTTCTAGTGATTAGGTTCAGACAACATGGTAAGTTGAGCATGGGTTGTCATTGAACTGCCAGCTGTTGCACCCAAAATTTGGGTTTGTCATGTAGTCTGAATGTGGTTGTGCTAACAAGCCATGTTAACCACAAACAGCCATGAAGGGAACTCATCATTTGTCCTTTGAATGGGAACTGTGGGAGCCACATTTTTTAAAAATCATGGCTGGATTCAGAATTACATTAACCCACGTTTGAACAACAACCGGAAGGTCAATGAAAATCTACAGTTACTGTGTAAACCGCATCTATGCATACAGTGTAGAGAGCGCTTGCCAGGCTTGGGTTAGGAAGCCTTACATTCACTTCTACTGCGGGACCATGGTGCTCACTGGTTGATCCTGGGCCAACCACAATCTTTTCCTAACCTCTCTTGCTATGAGGATTAACATGGGACAATCCTCATGCCTGCTGCTTGCAGAAGGGATGCATTATGAATGAGACCGGCAACATCAGAAGTGTATAATGGTAAATAATGGCCCTTTGCCATATAATATCCCTCCCCATGCAAGATGCCAGCTATGTACTTAACCTATTATTAAGCAACCTATCCACAATTCCCACCTTTTCACACTCTTTCCTGTGAATTATTGTGGATTCACACCTGAGCAACTTAGGTGCTGCCAAATGGCACCCATGTGGTCAGGGCACTAAGTTGCAGCCGCAACACATGCAAACTGCAACCCTTTGGGTTGCCCTGACGATGCCACAAGTTCGCATGCCAGTGCTTCTCTTTCTTTCAGAGTTGCTGGTATGGGGACCAAACTGGGGAACCCATTTCCTTGTAGGCTGCCACTAAGATACAGTGGGAGAAAATGCTTAGTAGCAGCCACAGCAGCACTATACCAAAGCATATAAATTGAGTCCATAAGTGACCACACAGGACCATAAAGAGACTGTGAATGGGTCTCTTTATGGTTGTATAAGGTCATTCATGAAATCCCTCAAGCGATAATCGTGATTATCCAGATTATGAATAAATGATGTACACAAGCAGTGTTTATTGATCACAGTGTTAAAGTCACATCTCAGGCAGCACCCTGCCCAGTAATGCCCTCCGGGATCTGGCGTTCTGATGCATGCATGGACCCCTTGCAACAGCAGTGGCTTCCTTCCTCGAGTCTTTAGAGTCTAATGAGCTAAGCATTCTTTCTGCTCTTCATCTTTGCAATTGCATGGTACCACTTGCACCATCTCCTTCATGGATCACTGCCTTGTTGTGGCGAAGGGCCTTGTGTAGCTCAATGAAGCTATGAGCTATGCCGTGCAGGGCCACGCAAGACAGATAGGTCGTAGCAGAGAGCTCTGACAAAAGCTGGTCCTCTGGAGAAGGAGATGGCAACCCACTCCTGTATCCTTGCCATGAAAACCCCATGGACAGTACCAGAAGGCAAAAAGATATGACGCCGGAAGATGAGCCCTCAGGTCGGAAGGTGTCCAATATGCTACTGGGGAAGAGCGGAGGGCTAGTACTAGTAGCGCCAGAAAGAATGAAGCGACTGGGTCAAAGCCGAAAGGACACTCAGTTGCAGATGTATCTGGTGGTGAAAGGAGAGTCCGATGCTGCAAAGATCTATACTCCATGGGAACCTGTAATGTAAGATCCGTGAATCAAGGCAAGCTGGACATGGTCAAACAAGAGATGACAAGACTGAACATCGACATCTTAGGAATCAGTGAACTAAAATGGACAGGAATGGGTGAATTTAATTCAGGTGACCATCAGGTATACTACTGAGGGCAAGAATCCCTCAGAAGAAATGGAGTAGCCTTCATAGTCAATAAAAGAGTAGGAAAAGCAGTACTGGGATACAATCTCCAAAATGACAGAATGATCTCAGTTCGAATCCAAGGCAAACCATTCAACATCACAGTAGTCCAAGTCTACGCCCCAACCACTGGTGCTGAAGAGGCTGAAGTTGACTGGTTCTATGAAGGCCTACAACACCTTCTAGAATTAACACCAAAAATGATGTCCTTATCATCATGCGGGATTGGAATGCTAAAGTAGGAAGCCAAAAGATTACCGGAATAACAGGCAAGTTTGGCCTTGGAGTACAAATGAAGCAGGGCACAGGCTGGTAGAATTTTGTCAAGAGAATACGATGGTCACAGCAAACACTCTTTTCCAACAACCCAAGAGGTGACTCGACACATGTACATCACCAGACGGTCAACACAGAAATCAGATTGACTATGTGCTCTGCAGCCAAAGATGG